TTTCTCTCTCATCAATGTTTCTAACTCTCTATCTCTCTCCTTTCCTCTGTGTAAAAACTCAATAAAATATATTTTAAAAAAAACATTTTAAATTTCCATGTTTTCCAAGAATTTCATTTTCTATTTAAGAACTCTTTCCTTTGACTCTTAAAATTGTTCTCTCTTACACAATCAAGGATAATTTTACAGTAAGAAATAATCCTGTCTTGGACATAAACACTGAAAGAAAGCTTAGTTTACAGTCTGACAAATATTCACATATCTATAGGATTTTGCTAGGACAGCCTGGCACTAGGACAAATGTAATGTGTGCCAGCCACAATGTCACTTGAGAAGTAACCTTGGTCTGCTGGCACCAATTCTCAGTCCCACTTGGACTAATGTGGCCAACCAAATGCAGAAATAATGGGAAATTATACATTGCACTGGAACCTTATTATAAAAACGTAAGATAGCCAATCAGGAATGCTTCCTCTGCCATATGATAACTTGGGTACATTTTGCATACCTGGCAACAGTGCAGCAAATTTAAAACTATCATATCCCTGTATTTTTAAACTGGAATTTCTGATAATTTATTGTCAGCAGAGATCTACCTTAGAGTATTTGGATGGTAGCAGGGTTCTTGATAATAGGCAATGATCTTGGTAAAGAAAACCACGTGGTGGTCATATTAAATACATCTGTTTAAAATAACTGTTTATTCAGGCAAATAAATCATTTTAAAATAACCCCAAATCACACCTCAGAACCTATTTACATTGTTCAAATATTCAGAAGTGGGATGCTTATCCTGACCACTCCACAGTGGATGCACAGAGTAGATTTCAAAGATACTTTTTACAAAGAAAGGGAACAAAGGGAAGATTCAAGGTTTTAGCAAATCACAAGTAGTAAATGGCAATGGTGTTGCCTCCATGGTCTTGCTGTAACATTCTCCATCCCACCTGAGGTTCCAGGACAAAGACCATGGAGCACTACTGAGGCCATGGCAAGACTTACCTTCAATTTATGCTCCAACATCATATTCTGCTCTCTTACTATAGTCTCTCTGTCCCTCTCCATCTTCTCCTTCAGTTGCAATATATTTTCCTGGAGACTCCTCTCCTGTGCCTCCATCTGCTGCTGTTGCTCCTGTAGTTTCTGTCTCAGCAACTCCTGATCCTTCTCAGCTGCCTCCTTCTTGGCCCGCTCAGCTGCCCCAGGGAGGTTTGACAGAGGGAAGAAATAGGTGAGGACTAACCTCTACCTTCCTGAGTTCTAATAAAACAAACTGTAAGGGGAGGTGAGAAGACTCTGAATTGCTCCCTTGCCACAACATCAAGAGCTCATAGCAGAGTGTGATGGGAAAAGCCCTGGCTGGCTGATGTGCCCTGGTGCTTTCAGAGTTAGAGAGTATGTCCCACAGAAGGAGAGAAAGCTCCTTGTATCAGGAGGTTTTGTTCTCACAACTGTCAAAGGACAGTGCAGGCCCTTCCACCCACTGTCAGCCCAGCCC